CAACCCATGCAACTGCTGTTGCTTCAGGTCTTCCAATTGCCGACCACTCCTCTTCAAGTCCTCCTTCTTGGTCTCCAAAATCTGCTTGGTTTCCTCCACAGCGCGAGCTCGGGAAAGCAACTCGCTCTTCAAGCTTGGCTCTTCCAGCTCCTCCAAATTCTTCAACTCTGAAACCAGTTTCCCGCTCCGACGTTCAGCATCTTGGCTGTAGCCAATGCGGCTGGAGATCAACTCATCGTTCTTGGCTTTCAAAGTTTTGGAATGAGTTCTGCAGACCTCAATCTGCTCCAGCAGGCCCTTGATGTGTTCATCCAGCAATGAAAGGGTTGTCTCTCCACTTTCTGCATTGCCGGAACAAGCATGTTTGAACAAGGCATTCAAATCCCATTTCAAGGAATTCACCACCTCTCTGAAGAATGGGACAATCAGCCCACAATCATCCTGCACTTGTTCCAGCACTGGGGACATCTCCTTAATTTTCACTGCAACCAAATTATTCTTTTCACAAGCTGCTGCAGCATCGGTCATATCTTCTGTGAGACCAGCAGTGCAGTCAGACAGGGGGTGGTTCTGCAGCAGCTCCAAATTCAATGTCCGGCTGACATCAGTCGTTTGCTGGATGCTCTGAACGGTCTGCGCTGTGGCCACCAAAGTGCTCTGGAAACCTTCCACCAAAGCAACAGGGCAGGGATCCACATTGCACGGGACCCACCGTTCCCGCTGTTCTGAAGTTGGGTCAGGACAATCACCGCCATGGCTTGCATCATATTGGACTCCACGGGTTTCCTTCACCGTGCCATTGCCACAGAGTTTGCTGCAGCCACTCACATCTGGCTGCCAGTCAAGCAAGACACAATCCACCGGACACGGCTGGTCATTGCACTTTTCGGTCTTCAACTGGTTCATCTCATGACAGGCCGCGCCTCCGTTTTGCGCCGGACGCGTGATTTGGAAGGCACAGGAACGGGTGCCACCACCACAAGAAGCGGAGCACGGGCCGAAATCAGACCAAGTTCCCTCGCAATTCTGTGGGAAGCTGCCAACCCAAAGCTCAGCACTAAGATCACGACAGTTGATGGGTGGAAAGCCTTGATTCTGCCATGTTTCAAGGTAGCTTTGCTTACCAAAGGAGTCAATCACTGTGCCGTTGAACTGAAGGATGCACGAGTCCAAAGCACCTTCAAAGCAACCACGGGACACGCCGAATGGAACGAGTCTTTTCATGATGTCCACCTTTGCACCCTGCATAGTGAGATCGATGGAGCCACACATGCTGTGAGCTGTGGCTGCCATGCCAGCCATGCCCACACTCAAGACTCCCATGAGAACAGCGACCAAGTTCTTGGAAGGACGTGGGAAGCTGCCCGGATCTATGGGTGGATTGTCGCCCTCCGGAGCACACTCAACCCGATCCCAAGATCCATCGGAACCTACACTTTGATTGTCCACCGCGCGGGGATCTTCATGAGCAGGTGGCTCTTGCATGGCATGGTCAGCCTTGGGATCGGTGAGTGACTCATCCACCACATCGTCAGCCTTGGCATTGTCTGACTCCCCCACCACATGATCAACCTTGGCATCGTCTTCGGCAGGTGACTCATTCACCACATCGTCAGCCTTGGCATCCTCTTGCACAGGAGACTCTTGCACGGCATTCTCAGCCTGGAGGTCAGTAGGTAACTCATTGACAACACGGTCGGCATTGTCTTGGGCAGGTGGCTCTTCTGAAGTCACAGTGATGGCTGGATTGCTGTCCACAACGTAGTCCTGCCCATCCTGTGCCACAGTTGTCCATTTGGAAAGGTCCTCGCAAGCGTGTGCCATGGCTGCGCAGATGATCACTTTGTTGGTATACGAGCACGCGGTCTGTCAAGACCATGCCTTTTCTTGATTCATCTGGTTTGATGATCATTCATCCTGATGTGTTTTCGGTTGGTGGTGTCAATCGCATATTGGAAATCAACTACTCTTGGCGGCTCGATGAAACTTAAAAATCAGCGACGTCAGAGGGAAATCCAAATGGTAACAAGTTCCATTTGCAGAATGTGTGCAAGAAGAATCAGTTTGACTGACCAAAAATCCATCAGCCACACTACCAACCGTAAATTCGCTGAAATCAAATGATGTTTTCTTGCAATTGCACCAGGAGAGACACTGCAAACTTCGATGTGTAGGTTCTCACTTTGCGTTTTCCACTGTCGATCTAAAGAATCGTGAATGCATTTCCAGCTGTTCATCTAGTCATGACGTTACCTGGCCTTGGAAAGCTGCTCTATCTGCGCATTTTGATAGGACTCCCAGTTTTTGCAAAGCAATGCCATTGGTCGCAAAAACTGATGGCATGCGAATGCAAACTTGACACGCAAATGTTTTCGACCAATGGCATATAGATGCTTATAGCTGGTCATCAATTGTCGCCCGTCATCTCTACATCACGCTTCATTCTCCAGACTCGTGCCTGGCGGGGTCAGGGTGGCTTTGATCATGCCCCTAGCACCCTAACAGGTTTATGCTTTTTGGGTTTCCTTTTGAGAATCAAACAGTTGCTGGCCCTGGACGTTCAAAAGAAATGTCTGCAAATTTAGTTTCTTAGAGTGATCCCCGCTGTGGCATTCTGTAATTCTATCTCACACTCTGTCTACAATTTTCAAATATAATACTTGAGGCCCAGGGGTAAGGGACGCATGACGAAAGCTAGCTTGGCAGGGAACTTGGCATGAAAACACAAAGGGCGCAGCGCAGCTGCGTAGTTTTTTCGTCAACGTGGCCGCGTGGGTCTGAAACTGGGCCAGGTTGGTAGCGTGAACATCCAGACTTACGTATTGAGGCGATGCATGTTGGAGGGGACGAAGATGAGAACATGATTATATGCACTGCTGCACGAAGAGGATGAGGAAATTAATTTCAGCATAGCCAACATGATGACCGGGCCTTTGGAAGCGCGGGAACAAGTAGCATAGTGCAAAACCGAAGTTGAGGATGAGGGGTAGGTGCGCGCGCGCAACATGAAAATGAAGCTAGGCCAAGGCGAAGGTTACCCATGGATGAACATGCCAATCACCAGCGCTGCTGAATCAATGAATTGAAGAGAAACGAGGCATGCCCTTTATTGACGACGCAAATCATGCAGAGGATGCCGATGCTGTCGATGTTGCTGACGGTGTCCTCCGGGAGGGGTTGAGCTCACGGCCAAACTGCTTGTGAACCACCCTGTTGGACCTGACTTGGCTTTGCACCAAGGCTTCCTGAAACCTTCTCCGGAACTTTCTCCGGAACCTTCTCCGGAACCCTGTTGAACCTGACCTGGCTCTGCTTAAATCTCAGACCTTCTCCGGAACCTTCTCCGGAACCTTCTCCGGAACCCTGTTGAACCTGACTTGGCTTTGCACCAAGGTTCCTGGAACCTTCTGGAACCCTGTTGAACCTGACTTGGCTTTGCACCAACGCTTCCTGCAACCTTCTCCGGAACCCTGTTGAACCTGACCTGGCTTTGCACCAAGGCTTCCCGGAACCTTCTCCAGAACCTTCGGAACCTTCTCCGGAACCCTGTTGAACCTGACCTGGCTCTGCACCAAAGCCTCCCAGACCTTCTCCGGAACCTTCGGAACCTTCTCCGTAACCCTGTTGAACCTGACTTGACTTTGCACCAAGGCTTCCTGGAACCTTCTCCGGAACCTTCTCCGGAGCCCTGTTGAACCTGACCTGGCTCTGCACCAAAGCCTCCCAGACCTTCTCCGGAACCTTCTCCGGAACGGTAGTTAACTGAGAAGTTTCTCGCGATTGGAGATTCCAGCCCCCCAAAACCTTGCTGAAGCAAGAGAGACTTCAGCTCAGAAGCTAACTTTCATGATCTGACGCTTTACTTCGCAAATATGATATCCATCTGGCATTGCATCAGGCATTCTTTCTGGCAGATCTGGCATTCGTTCTATGTGGCATTCTATCTGACATTATATGCTGACATTCTTTTTATTGTGGCTTGCGAGTTGTTATGACACATTGTGGCAATTATCACCCTCATCTTGGCCAACACTTCATCGATCATCTTCTTGTAGGGGCCTGTAGGACGATGACCTTGTTCAGGACGTCCACCGCCACTGACACACCTATCCATGTCAACCGCGTGCCCCGCTCAGACTTGCTGTATGCCAGGTTGACCACAAAGGTCCTGCTGCATACAGCACGTCAACGCTTGGACCCAAGAAGCACCAGCAGCGGGTCAGGTAGCACTGCAAAGAGCCGGCGAGCTCGCGATAGGCAGTGTAGGGGGAAGGTAGGAGGAAGGAGTTGGCGGGATGTCGCGTTAAAACCTAGAGATTAAAACCTAGAGACCCTCACCTAACAAGTATGGAAAAGTGCCAAAGTCAACAGATGTCAAACGCAAAACACGGTCGACTGCCTCGTTGAAACCATGGTTCAACCCTACTGCAAACGCATTGGGTATTAGGACGACATTTTGGCTTCACATGCAATAGACCCTATGAAGTGAGTTTCAGGTTGCATCTGTTCATCAGGCACTGTTGGTGGTCTTTGGGCCAAACATCCATGATGCAAGAAAAATAACCGCTTGTTCAGCTAAAGGCGTGGCTGCGGAAAGGCAGTCACGAGTACCTGTACCAACAAAACCCTGCAATGCCAACTCGCAGCCACTTAATCATCCCTGCCATCCTGCCATCCTGCGACCTGCACGTCGCCAGATGTGATTTTTGGCAACTCGCATAGCAGGCTCTCTGCAACTCGACTGTACAGCTGCTGAGTAGGTGCCCACATGATGCCACGCCACCACACGGACTCATGGGCGGCGTGGCAGGCAAATAACTAAAACTCAGGTGGTAAGATCGGCCCAAAAAGGTACAAAGCATCACCAATCTGAAACATCTGAAACAAATCAATTTCAATCAATTTCAGCACGTCTAAGCGCTAGCCTGGCCAGATCTTAAACCAGACCTGTTCAAAGTGATGCATCTGCCGGGCCTGCTCCCGGCTCATGTGGGGCCTGTTCAGCCCAATCGGACCACCTCCCTCACCGAGTGGAAGATGTTGAGCGCGACGTTTCTCGCCGCGTCACAAGCTCCTGGCCCTGTCTTCATCCGGCCCTCTTTCTTCAGCGACTCCAGGTAGTCCCGAACAAATTTGAATTTCATGGTCAAGCCTTGAAGCGTCTGCCTAGCATCTGCCAGGCGGCTATCCAATTGAGTTTGGCTGGAAACCTCGGACATTTGCTGAAATCTGTTCAGATTTCGGATCTCCAAGTACTTGCCCAAGATAATCTGGCCAACTTTCACTTGACGACTCCGAACCTCGTCACTCATCTTCTGGTTCTCAGCAATGCTCTGCATGTGTTCGCGCACTGCCTCCTCACCAGCTTTGACAGTGGACTCCAGGTCTGCGGCTGCCTGGTTCAAGAATGATTACTCAGCAAAAACGGACAAAATGACGAGCAAATCTGGGCTGACTCGGTGTGCTATTTGGGTCTGCGAATGTCTACTGAGTCTACTGTTTAGGTTTCTGCTAATTCCATCTAATTCTACTTTTTATCATGTCTACTTCCTGCGCATTGTTCAATGGAAAGTGCTCTTCGATTCCCTTTTCTTTTCTCATCAGTGAGGCTATATGGTAACGGAGGCGACAAACATGGGAAATATACATGCAGAAAATACACGAAAATGATGAAAAAGGATGGAAAAGGGAATCACGCCTGGCCTGGTTGTATTCCTTGATCTTGGCGTTGTAGTCGGCCGTCTTCTGCTGCGCCTGATCCTCCAAGTCCTTTGCTTCGTTTTTGGCAGCCTGCAGCCTCTCAAGGTTCTCCGACCGCTGCTTGCCCTTCAACGAAGACTCCAAGTTCTCAGCATGCTGTCGGGCTTCGCCAGCTTTGGAAGTAGCATCATCAGCCGCTGCTTTATCGATGCTCAACCCATGCAACCGCTGTTGCTTCAGGTCTTCCAATTGCCGACCACTCCTCTTCAAGTCTTCCTTCTTGGTCTCCAAAATCTGCTTGGTTTCCTCCACAGCGCCAGCTCGGGAAAGCAATTCGCTCTTCAAACTTGGCTCTTCCAGGTCCAAAGTCTTCAGCTCTGAAACCAGTTTCCCGCTCCAACGTTCAGCATCTTGGCTGTAGCCAATGCGGCTGGAGATCAACTCCTCGTTCTTGGCTTTCAAAGTCTTGGAATGAGTTCTGCAGACCTCAATCTGCTCCAGCAGCCTGTTGATGTGCTTATCCAAGAATGAAAAAGTCAACTCTTCATGATCTGCACTGCCCGAACAAGCATCTTTGAACAAAGCAGGCAAATCCAATTTTAAGGAGTTCACCAGCTCTCTGAAGAATGGAAAAATCATCCCACAATCATCCTGGACTTGCTCCAGCACCAGAGACATCTCCTTAGTTTTTGTAAACAGCCGATTATTCTCTACACAAGCTGCTGCAGCCTCGGCCAAATCTTCACTGATACCACCTCCGCAATTAAACTGAAGATGGTTGTGCAGCTCTAGTGCGCCACTCGCAGCTAGTGCTTCCCGAATGCTCTGAACGGTTTGCGCTGTGGCCACCAAAGTGCTCTGGAAACCTTCCACCAAAGCAACAGGGCAGGGATCCACATTGCACGGGACCCACCGTTCCCTCTGGTCTGAAGCTGGGTCAGGACAATCACCGCCATGGCTGGCATCATGTTGGACTCCACGGGTTTCCTTCACCGTGCCATTGCCACAGAGTTTGCTGCAGCCACTCACATCTGGCTGCCAGTCAAGCAAGACACAATCCACCGGACACGGCTGGTCATTGCACTTTTCGGTCTTCAACTGGTTCATCTCATGACAGGCCGCGCCTCCGTTTTGCGCCGGACGCATGATTTGGAAGTGGCGGGAACGGGTGCCACCACCACAAGAAGTTGAGCACGGGCCGAAATCAGACCAAGCTCCTTCGCAATTCTGTGGGAAGCCGCTAACCCAAAGCTCAGCACTAAGATCTCGACAGTTGATGGGTGGAAAGCCTTGATTCTGCCATGTTTCAAGGTAGCTTTGCTTACCAGAGGAGTCAATCACTGTGCCGTTGAACTGAAGGATGCACGAGTCCAAAGCACCTTCGAAGCAACCAAGGGACACGCCGAATGGAACGAGCCTTTTCATGATCTCCACCTCTCCACCATGCATAGTGAGATCGATGGAACCACACATGCTGTGAGCTGTAGCTGCCATGCCAGCCATGCCCACACTCAAGACTCCCATGAAAACAGCGACTAAGTTCTTGGAAGGACGTGGGAAGCTGCCCTGATCTATGGGTGGATTGTCGCCCACACCGGGATCGTCTTCAGTCACCACTTCAGGCTGCGCAGCTTCATTGAGGTCTTCAGGGGGTAACTCCTCTGCTGGGATCGCTGCATTTTCAGCCCTGGTGAAGGAATGCCAGCAACTCATGGGGCGCCATGCGTCCTCACAAATGTCCGCCATGGCCCTGCAAATCATCGCGATGATATGTATATATATAATATCATGTATATATTTATAATTTATTTATTTATTTATCTATTTTAATTATTTTTATTTATTTATATCTATATTTATATTTATATTTAGACATATACACAAACATATGCACATACAAATACAAAAACATATACATATACATATACATACGTATACATATACATATAATAGACATTTAAAAATAGATAGATAAATCACTATGTTTTATCAAAGGAAATTGGGAAGCAATCTTCCGAGTTACGGACAGATAGACTTGTGAGACCCTACATCACATCACAATACACTCCATGAAGGGTGGTGTGAGATTTTACATCACGTAACAATACATCACTAGACAATAGTAGGCTATGACATAGGGTGGTGACGAAGGGAAGTGGTGACCTGTAGGGAAGTGGTGACGAAGGGAAGTGTGGACCTAGGGATAGGGTGACGAAGGGAAGTGGTGACGAAGGGAAGTGGTGACGAAGGGAAGTGTGGACCTAGGGATAGGGTGACAAAGGGAAGTGGTGACGAAGGGAAGTGGTGACGAAGGGAAATGGTGACGAAGGGAAATTGTGACGAAGGGAAGTGGTGCGGAAGGGAAGCGGTGACGAAGAGAAGCGGTGATGAAGACAGCGTGGTGCATTTGGGAAGTGGCGGCTAAGGGAAGTGTTGACCAAGGGAGGAAGTGGGGAGGAAGCCGGCGCACGAAACCTTGTGTTTTTCCGTGTAAAGTGACTCCGGCCGGCGATGAAAGGTACCTCGTGTGTGCGGCAGGTGCGGCTGCGGCTGCGGTCGTTTTGGTTCCTCCTCTGTGTTCTGCAACGAGCAGTTGTTCCTGTGTGCGTAGTTCTATACGTTTCTTGAATCTGCGGTTGCAGATCGCATTGGAATGGCTCCGTGATTGTTGTCATCTGGTGTTGCCGTGTGCGTAGATACGTGCAAGTTTGCGACGTGATGCTGCGAAACAATTGTAATGGCTGCATGAATGTTGCATGGGCTTTGTGTTGGGGAGGAGCACGAAACCTTGTGTTTTTCCGTGTGAAGTGGCTGCGGCCGGCGATGAAAGGTACCTCCTGTGTCCAGCGCTTGCGGCTGGGGTCGTTCCGAGTGTAGTCGGTTCCTCCTCTGTGTTCTGCAACGAGTGTTTTCATTTGTGCATAGTTCCAGTCGCTTGTTAAATTTCTGGTTGCAGATCGCAGTGCAATGGCTGTATGGTTGTTGTCATGCTCTGGTGCCCTGCGCGTAGAGACAGCATGCGTAATACTATTGCCTTTTGCAGCTGGAAGCCGTGAATCGAATTGGAGTAGCTGCATCAAGGCTGCGATGGTCATTTGTCAGAAGATTTTCTCAATTTTGGCGCTAGTAATTTTCCTTTTGAATTCCTTTTACAAAGTGACGCTTGAAAATCTTTTGTTTTTCTCGTTGGCGTCGAGATCCGGTTTTGGAGCTGCAATTCCGACGCCATTGCGCGTAGTTCTATTGTGTTTCCGAATTCAGAGTCTGCAGATCGCATTATAGTGGCTGCGTCAAGGTTGCTTGGTGCCGCGGCTGCATGCGTAATACTATGGTCTTTTGCAGCTGGATCTCGCAAATAGTATTGGAGTGGCTGCATCAAGGCTGCGACAGTGACTTGTCAGCAGATTTTTCAATTTTGGCGCTGGTGATTTTCCTGGTAAAATTCCTCTTAAAAAGTGCTTCAAATCGTGATTTTTTTCTTTGGCGCCAAGATCCATCCGGTTTTGGAGCTGCAATTCCTAGTGTCACTATGTACAAGAAAGCTTCTCTGTGCAAAACTTTTTTCTGTAAAAGCTTGCTGTGTGTAAAAGATTTTGTGTGTGTGTGTAAAAGCTTGCTGTTTGTAAAAGCTTGCCGTGTTTAAAAGCTTCTCCGTGTGTAAAAGCTTCTCTGTGTGTAAAAGCTTCTCTGTGTAAAAGCTTGTTGTCTAAAAGCTTCAAAAGCTTCTGTGTGTAAAAGCTTCTCTGTTTAAAAAGCTTGCTGTGTGCAAAAGCTTCTCCGCAAAAGAACTTGCTGAGACTTGCTGTATGTAAAAGCTTTCTTTGTGCAAGGTTGGTAGTACAAAGTTGTACTGGGGAGTACTTCGCGCAAGCTTTGTAGTACAAAGTAGTGCTTGGAAGTGCTTTGAGCAAGCTTTGTAGTACAATGTAGTACTGGGAAGTGCTTTGTGCAAGCTTTGCAGTACAAAGAAGTACTGGGAAGTGCTTTGTGCAAGCTTTGTAGTGCAAAGTAGCACTGGGAAGTGCTTTGTCAAGCTTTGTAGCACAAGAAGTAGTACTGGGACGTGCTTTGTGCAAGCTTTGTAGTGCAAAGTAGTACTGGGAACTGCTTTGTGCAAGCTTTGTAGTACAAAGTAGTATTGGGAAATGCTTTGTGCAAGCTTTGTAGTACAAAGTATTACTGGGAAATACTTTGTGAAAGCTTTGTAGTACAAAGTAGTACTGGAACGTGCTTTGTGCCAGCTTTGTAGTACAAGTTGTACTGGGAAGAACTTTTTGCAAGCTTTGTAGTACACAGTAGTACTGGGAAGTAGTTTGTGCAAGCTTCGGAGTACAAACTAGTGATGGGAAATACTTTGCGCAAGCTTGGTGGTACAAAGTAGTACTGGGAGGTGCTTTGTGCAGGCTTTGCAGTACAAAGTAGTGCTGGGAGGTGCTTTGTGCAAGATTTGCAGTACAAAGTAGTACTGGGGAGTACTTTGTGCAAGCTTTGTAATACAAAGTTGTTCTGGGGTGTGCTTTGTGCAAGCTTTGTAGTACAAAATAGTACTGGGAAGTGCTTTGTGCAAGCTTTGCAGTACACTGGGAAGTCCTTTGTGCAAGCTTTGTAGTGCAAAGTAGCACTGGGAAGTGCTTTGTGCAAGCTTTGTAGCACAAGTAGTAGTACTGGGACGTGCTTTGTGCAAGCTTTGTAGTGCAAAGTAATACTGGGAAGTGCTTTGTGCAAGCTTTGTAGCACAAGTAGTAGTATTGGGACTTGCTTTGCGCAAGCTTTGTAGTACAAAGTTGTACTGGGAAGCGCTTTGTGCAAGCTTTGTCGTACAAATTTATTTCGGAAAGGGTTTTCTGTCGAAATGCATCTGTGTCTCAAGGGTTTGTGTGCAAAAACTTTCTGCGCCCAATGGTTTTTTGTGCAAGGGACTTCTCTCTGACAGCAAGAGCTTTCTGGCGTGCAGAACAGCTAAATGAGTTGAGAAGAACTTCGAGGAGATGAGAAAGGTTGATCAATGCTCGGATGAGATGAAGACAGTTGAGAAGAACTTACTTTGATGACATGTGAGAAGAGATGGGATGAGATGAGAAGAGCTGAGGTGAGGTGAGAAGAGGTGAGAAGAGTTCACAATGTCTGAGATGAGATGAAGTGTGGAGTGTGAAGTGTGAAGAATGCAGTGCGAAGTGTGAGGAAAATCTTCGCTTGGCGTTGCATTGCACCGGGGTCGCGCGCAGGTCATGTTCTTGGGCAACAACACTGCAACAGCTTCGCACAAAGCACGCACGCACGGGCCTGGCTGGCGCACGGCGCATGCAAGTTCTATAGATGAGAAAGATCTTATAATATATCCCTAAGGCAACTTCCGCCCCGCCTCGTGCGGGTGCTACTGGTAGATTTATACGTATTTATTTACTTACCTATTTATTTCCTTATTTTCTATTATATATGAGCACGCAATCTGCTGAGATAAATGTCTCGTGTTCATGCATATGCATAAACTTGCTAACCTTCATCCTACTGTCTGTGTCTGGCTGTATGGGTTTCTTTCTGAACACGGCGTCCAATATCTGCAATATCAAAGGTATCTTCCTTGCCAAGTGTCCCATAATTCTGTCTGATTCTAACAGCAATGTTCTCAACAGCAAGTGCTCTTAGCGGCTCGATGTAAGTGCAAATGCTGCGCAAATGAAAGGAAGGCCAAAGTTTGGACAAATGCTTTACTTTCTGCGCATCCACAAGAAGACTCACGCTGAAAAAGAATTTCCTCAACACGCTTCAGATTACCAGTTGTATCAGTCATCACGCATCAAAAAGGAAAATTTCTGTTGCACCCCTGCCAGCGCGCCAACAGAAACATCGCAAGTTTCAGTCTTGAATCACTTGGTTCTGGCAATTGACGAACCTACCGCAAAATCTTGCCCCACAGGAAACGAAACACTTTTGTGGGACAAAGGCCCCTTTGCAAGAAGAAAAGGCAGGAATCACTGAGCATGCTTAGTGTAAACCGCCGCCGTGCTCAATCGTGCCACTAAGTGCGCCCCGTTAAAATGGCATCAGTTGCTGTCAGTTTGTCGAAGCCAACCACTGAAGCCTTAACAGCACATAGCTAGGATGTGACACATCATGATACGTTATGAGCATTGCGGCACTGGTTTCTGTTTTGAAGGCATGGATCTCTATACTCTCACAGGAGAACACCACTTGCAATAAATTGGTTAGATCTGAAGAATCCTGGATGTGCCTGCAACTTTTGATGCGATATGTGGCCTTGGAAAACTGCTCTGCCTGGGCACTGCCAGGGATGTGAATCCAAAGCGGCAGTATTGACGCATTGTTGGAGTCACATCAGACGCGCCATGAAATGCCATACTCTGCAACATGAGGTGACTATAGTTCAATGCCTGGTCATGGGAAAGGGCGTTCAATTCACAGATCCAAAACGTGTGGCAGGGCATTTTGATCAGTCTCAACTCAATGATGTTTGTTTTCAACAGGACAAAGCATCTGAGCGAGTCGAAACACCAAGTTCTTCAACTCACGGTCTTTCAAAGGATGAATTGATCGTGTGGACCGGCGCGGTTGAGCCAAACTGCTTTCTACAGCAGATCAGTCATGGAAATCAGCGGAAATCAGTGATTCAGCCATGGCCACTTTTCCATGCATGCAATCGTTTGGTTTTGGTGTTAGCGCAGATAATGTTTTTGCGGAACATGAAGAATAGTTCATTGAAGTTGCAATATTGTTGACTGCGGCAATGTGGTCATCGAACATCTCTCACACTCTCACACATCTGTCAGACCAGTCATTTTCCCATTGGCGTTCCAGCACGTGAAAGGCTATAGACACGGGATTGGGTACTGGATTCCCAATGCTTAAAAGATAGCCAGTCAAGGTTCATCCTGCTGATTTCGCAAAGAAAGTTGGCACGAAATGGTTCACAAGTCGATCAAACACTATCAAACGAGTGCATTGGTTCTCGCTCTTGTTGTACCTATGTAGTAGAGGTTTCAGTGGCTCTGTGCAAGGCTTGTGGAACCTGACCTGATTACACCTGATTGTGACACAATATACTACGTAAAGCTATTATGTTTCAGAATGTTGACTTTACAGAGCCCGTCACCGCAACATATTATGCCATTAAGCGTCCCAAATCGAATGCCAACTGCAGCTACTAGCACAAAAAGATTGATGATGCGAAATGATGGTAAAATGCTCTCAGCAGTTTCACAACCCTGGCTTCCTGGTCTGTGGGAGATTGCTCGACAGGGTCGTACCATAACCAGCAACGCATTCGTTGTTCAACCTGTTCAACCGGCAACCTTGAAGAGTTCCCTGGCAGAGTTGACAATGTTCGCCACGATATGTCTCACATGGTCACAACCAGCAGGTCCTGTCCGCAGTCGGCCTTCCGCAACCTTAAGCGATTTCAGGTAGTCACTGAATTGCTTAAACTTCACGGTCAAAGTTTGAAGCGTTTCTGTGGCTGCTTGGACGTTTCTGTCCAGCTGAGACTGGTCCGAAGCTTGAGATAGCTGCTTGAAGCGGTTCAAGTTTTGCAGTTCCAGTAACTTGCCTTGAATGACCTTGCCAACTTGAATCTGTTGGACGCGAGCCTCATGGCTCAACCGTTGGTTCTCCGCAATGGTCTGCATCTGGCTACGCGCAGCCTCCTCACCTTGTTTTCGAAGTGACTCTTCATGCGCCACGGCCCGATTATATTCATCAATTTTGGTCATGTACTCTGCCTCCTGCTGACTCGCCTTCTTTTCAAAATCGGTGGCTTCTTCAAAGGCTCTATTCAGCCGACCCATGTTTTCAGCACGTTCCTTGCCCTTCAAGGAAGAATCCAAGTTTTGCGCCTGCTGGCGAGCTGCAGCGGCGTTGTCCTTCGCATTAGCACTTTGTGCCTTGTGCCGGTTCAGCAAAGACAACTGATGTTGTTTGAGGTCATCAAATTGCCGGCCGCTCTTCTTCAATTCCTCTTGTTTCTCATTCACATTCTGCTTCGCATTCTCCAGGGCTACTGCCCTGGCACGCACTTCGGTTTTGAGGCTGGGTTCATCCAGCTCCAAGTTCTTCAACTCTGCCAGCACCTTGCTGCTGCGTCGCTCAATGTCTTGACTGTGACCGCTCCTCCTGCTGAGGAGATCCTTATTCTTTGCTTTCAATTCCTTGGAAGGGCTTCTGCACTTCTCAATCTGCTGCAGCAGACTGTTGATCTGTTCATACAGCAAAGAAAAGGTTGCCTCGGCACTGTCAGTAATCCCAGAGCAAAGATATTTGATTAAGGCCGGCAAATCACCCAACAAGGAGTTAACCATCTCTCGGAAAATCGGGACAATCATCCCACACTCATCTTGTACCTGTTCGAAGACTGAAGACATCGCCTCAGTCTTTGTCGCCAGCACATTGTTCTCTGCGCAAGCTGCTGCGGTCTCGGCCATGTCTTCACTGATACCAGCTGAGCAATTAAACTGAGGGTGGTTCTGCAACAGCTCCAAAGTCAGCGTGCGGCTCACAGCCAATGTTTGCTCAATGCTCTGAACACTCTTTGCTGTGGCCGCCAAGGTGCCCTGGAAGTCTTCAACCAAACTGACGGGGCAAGGATCCACGTTGCATGTGGCCCACCGCTCCCGCTGTTCTGAAGTTGGGTCAGGACAATCACCGCCATGGCTGGCATCATGTTGGACTCCACGGGTTTCCTTCACCGTGCCATTGCCGCAGAGTTTGCTACAGCCACTCACATCTGGCTGCCAGTCAAGCAAGACACAATCCACCGGACACGGCTGGTCATTGCACTTTTCGGTCTTCAACTGGTTCATCTCACGACAGCGCGCACCTCCGTTTTGCGCCGGACGCGTGATTTGGAAGGCACAGGAACGGGTGCCACCACCACAAGAAGCGGAGCACGGGCCGAAATCAGACCAAGTTCCTTCACAATTCTGTGGAAAGCCTCTGACCCAAATCTCACTACCAAGATCACGACAGTTGATGGGTGGGAAGCCTTGATTCTGCCATGTTTCAAGGTAGCTTTGCTTACCAAAGGAGTCAATCACTGTGCCGTTGAACTGAAGGATGCACGAGTCCAAAGCACTTTCAAAGCAACCACGTGATATTCCGAATGGAACGAGTCTTTTCATGATCTCCACCTTTGCACCCTGCATAGTGGGATCGATGGAGCCACACATGCTGTGAGTTGTAGCTGCCATGCCGGCGACCGACAAGACTCCCACGAAAACAGCGACCAAGTTCTTGCAAGGAACTGGGAAGCTGCGCTGACGTGACTCGCGCCAGGCAACCTCATCTTGATTCTCAACAGGATCTGAAACCGGACTCGGGTCTTTGGCTGTCTCCTGAGGAGTGTTGTCCAAGCGTTCCTTCCGAGCGCGAGGAGGGTCAGATTCAGACTGCAGTTCCCATGAAGATATATTGGAAACAACATCTGGATCCTTGCCAGGCAACTCCTGCCCTTGGAATGGCAACTCCCTTGGCTCGAGGTCATCATCCCTCAGAACCTTCGCAGCTGCACCTGGTTTCATGGCGAAGCAAGTGCTTGAGTTTGCGAAAGCACCCAATCAGTTCAGCATAAATGGCTGCAGACGCGGTTCATGAACATTCAGGTTAGTGTTGCTGCCTCGGACGTCCGAAAGCATTAGCTGTCTTGTTTCACAGGCAATTCTACTGTGGATGCCCTTGTTTTCAGCAAGGCGCCCTGCAATCACGGCTCAAGCCATTGCCGTCTGCCAAAGGTGTACAACGCAAAATGTGGAAGAAACTCAGCCAGTCACAGCCTGAGACAGCACGGCAGCACGGATGCAAATTAACAAAAAATCAAATAAACAACAACATCTGAGACCACAGCAAACATCACTCTGACATGTACCACCTACAACTTGCTCCAGTAGGACACATGTACTCGGCCCAGCTACAGCATTGCCAACAGCTGCTCGGGAAGAATCTCAAGACTTATATATGACTTGCAGAGATCAGATACAGTACAAGAAACACAGATCAAGACAAACTTGCGTTTCCTGACCCGCCCTTGTAGCCAATCGCCTTCTGCCACAGAACCTTCCTGGAATCCCGACACCTTCACAACCTTAATCAATCCCAGGAGCCTTGCAACCTTCCCTGAACTCCACCCTGGAGCCTCGCAAGATCATTCTGGAAACCATATAAATTGGAGAATCTACTGTGGAAAGGTCCAAGACCCGCTCACCAGGGCACCCAAGGACAGGTCATCTCTACAAGAAAAACTCTGGGCGGCGAACATGTCTCAGGCGCCAAGCACCTCTGGAACCTCGTGGCAGCTCAGCTCGCAGACCATGGAGCTGGCCAAGATGCAAGCGCCTTGGATGGTTGCAAACAAAGTCAAACAATTCAGGAAATTAAGGGATCTGTCCTGCATCTCTTTTTGATAAATTCCAAGCCTTCTGACGCAAAATGGACATGGAAATGCGGAAAGCTGCACACCGTCGCATGTATTCGCTGCAAACAAAGCGCCCACATGATTTGAATGCAAGGCTACACTGGATCATCAGATAAATCATATGACTTGAATGCTTTCCAGAATGGATTCGCATCCATCACTGCTTCTGCCTGGCCTCATCTATGCTTTCAGGTCTTTGACAAAAGCGTATCGCAGAAGACAGCCTCGCAGTCTCGCTACACTGAGAGCCGGAATTGATCAAGAAATACAAGCTCCTGACATCTTCAAAAATAACTGACACAAGTTCCACAAACGCACCTGATGTTCGTTTCCAAAGACGAGGTGATCTACCTTCGAGTCAGTGCAGTCAAGATGATAGACACAGATAGACACAGCATATTTGCGGTCGCTTCCAGGTTTTGAATGTCTCTGCCCTCAGCGCTGCACCAAAATGACCTGACAGCCACTGCTATCGACGCCGGTCTTTCCATACCAACAACGATCCCAACTCACTGTGCGCACAGTGGTGCAAGTAACGACGATAGGAATTGCTTGACTGCTGTTCGTGTTATTTCTTCAGTTGTATGAAAAGTAGGTTTATTGAGGTGTAGCAGATTGATATGCCACGAAGCGAACCAAAACAAGCATAGATGATGCAACGTTAAATGACGGCAAAAAACGGGCAAGGTTCATCTGAAGAATGGGTTGAGATGGTATCGGGGTGAGCAATAATTGAGATTGTAGCTTCACAGACGAAAAGGAGCGGGAACAGAGTCGCCAGCGCCCATACAAGAAGAACAAACAACATACTAGTTGCAGCATTCAATACATGCACTGAATGAAAACCAGCACATGGCAGTGCACTGAAAAGAAACCTCGTCTGAAAGCGATGTGGTTCTGTCACGGCTAGCATGATAGACACCTAGTCTTACTATAAGAGGAGAATCCTCTTGGGCACGCGGCAAACGCGAAGACTCTCTAAGCACAATGCAACGTTTCAAAACACCCTGACTGACTTTCACTCCTTCCTCTGGGTCTGCAACACCCCAAACCAAGCCGCTCTACCAGCAACAAACTATTGAGAACACGGACCACCGGGAGTCGAAAGGGGTGAACCCTCGCCAAGTAGAACGCTTTCATTTTTCGAAACAACCATTGAATTCGTTGCTCAGGTGGCCTCAGCTTCGATCCGTGACCAACAAGTTTTCCCGGCAATTCACCCGTATTCTGTATGCTTATCCCCGTATGCAATAATATCAATAATTTATAAAAATGTCTGGTTTTGTCCACATGGGATGGTAGTAGTACAGTTGCACCTTTACACAGGTGGTTTACGGCGACTCATGGCCACCATCACAACAGATCGGCCTTTTAGAAGCAACATGTCCTGTGAAGCGAATGGGGCGGAGCTATGAAACAACCACGCGGGCCTCTTCAATGAACCACAGCATCGCCAGATGATTGGCGTCACTTTCCAGAATCTGCCTCCAATGGCACATAGTATGCACCTGCAGCACTTCTTCTGGGAATTCCAGGAGTTGGTGCGTAAAACGTGCTAAATTCAAGAAAAGGAATCAAAATGGCAAGAACGGCAGAATGAAGTTTTTTCAGCTCAGGGGCCTTGGGCACATTTCATGATGGCAATCAACTCTTGAAGCAACAAAACTGTATGGCGAATCTGGGGGGACAAGCAAAAGAGGGTAGACTGGTGGAACCACACAAAGTTGGAATCTGCAGGATGCTCTGAACACAAGTGCCTCCGATGCATTCCTCTTGAAGCTCCTGGAAAGATATGGGCTCAAGGTAACCACTGCCACGGAATCAAGTCTCAGCTGCAGAGGTCAATATGTTGAATATGTTAAAGTCCACCGACATTGTCAAGACGCTGCCATCAATGACTGGTTGGTGATTTCAACCCCTCTGAAAAATATTAGTTAGCTGGGATTATTATTCCCAATACATGGAAAAATAAACAAATGCTCCAAACCACCACTTTGTACCGCTTTGTGTGACGCACTGTCTTGTGGTGAGAAGACAGTACTTTAACTGTGGCGACTCTTTGGTCAATGTGGCAACACGACCTGGCTAGTTCCCGGGACTGCCGTCTGTACGGGGTGACACTAAACTTCTGGAACCAGCGATCGACCTCTACTAGGCGCAAGGGACACCAAGGCAACACCAAGCAGCTAGCAAACATACAGATCATATGGCTCTCCGGGCTGTCTGCATGTCGGAGGATTTCACGCAAGACTTTTCCAAACCATCGGGTTCTCTCCTTGAAACCAACCTGCAACAGAGCATGCAAGGGAAAATCCTCACTATCTTTCCATCCATCCTTCTTAATGGGACCAGCATGGCCTGTCTGAAGAACATAGTCCACATACAGTTGAGCATTGGAAACCCACACAACCGGACCTTGCTCCGCAGAAACTGCATTCCACAGCCAAGCAACGATTTTGGTCACAATCGGCTGCCCATACCATCTTACTGCTCCGAGAGGCAGCACCGGGGATGCAGGAAGCCCTTTCCAAACAGGGGGTTGTGGAGGTTCAGCAACTTCTGGTTCACCTTCAGCCTCATGATGTACACCACGCAGCACTTTACGACTGACCTGAAGTTGGACGTTGTGGATCATGGAGTTCCATTCATCAACCTGTCTACAAGCATTCGCATGACGAGCAAGCAAAGCCCAAAACACTGCATCACGTGCATCATTTGCTCTTGCGGCAGCATGATCAGCAAATTGATTATGAAGGAACGCCCACTCTTCCAGGGGTGAGAGAGCAGCACAGACCTTCTGATGAGCAGCAACCTTCGTAATCTGCACAAAACACCCATGAGAAACATCTGCAGCAATGTGCATCCACAGATCAGCATTCGGCGAGTTAATTCTGACGGGTGCACCAAGGATAATGCGTCGCAATCTTCGAACCACAGTTTGGCAATCAGACCAGATCATCAACCGAAGGCCTCTACACGCAGCAAATCTCACAGCCCGCATAACAGCAAACAACTCAGCCCGGACAGAGGTTTGCCGGAGGCCAGGCAAGACCCCACTATCCAAAACGATGGCAGGGCGAAGGAACGAAGGATCTGCTAAAATGACCGCATAAGCAGCAAACCTCAAGTCAGGGTAACCAGGGTTACAACAGGTGCCATCTGTGAAGACATGCACTTCATCACACTCTGGCCATGGCATCGTTGGAACAATGCTTTCAGGTATGGCAGCAAGAAAAGAATACCACTCCTGATGGGAGGTAGGCCTCAGAGCCCAGCCGTAGCATGTAACGCACTCGGGAAGCTCAGGGATGATTCTCCACAGCATGTCAGACACTCCCAACCGGCAGTCAGCAAAACATTGGCAACCCCAGAATCGATGAAACCTGGAGTCAGAGCATTGGCAATACAAGCAGACATCGGTAGCCGCTTCTTGACAGTAAAGCTTACCATCCTGAGTGACATGAGCACCATTCAACAGCTATGATTTGCCCCAACACATCAGGCGAGAGCTGAGGCCAATCTAACTGATGTCGTGGCAGGAAAGCCCTGGCGAACGAAAGAATAGTGACCCATCGATCTTCCGGCACATGAGCATGGCGATCCCAACGCGCTTTCCATGCTTCAGCAAATGCCTTTTCAAGATCTGTTTTAGTCCCCGCACACTGCAATTGGGAAACACAATGTCCAACCTGAACACCCTCAATGGACTGGAGCCACAAACAGTCTTCCTCAACATGAATGATGTTGAGCGGAAGCCCATGAGCTAACACAGGTCTATCACTGGCCCACGGCTGTGGCGGGTCAACTAGCACAGAACAATCATCGGCACGCACTTCAGTAACAGTGGACTGCAGAGGTCGGAGCAAAAAGTCAACACCATGACCGGACGGACCTTTAATGTCTCGAAAGATCAAATTGGGGTTACGAGCCCGACGAAGCCGTGCATACTGACGGGAGGTCGACATCAACTGTTTTTCCAACAGCCGAACATGGATAGCAACTGTTTCAAATATAGGCACGGCAATGGATTCAGCAGGAGGAAACCACGGCAACAGCTCAGGCGAGCCATGAACTTTGTGAGCACAGTTACTCCACCAATGAGAGAAACCCCCATAGAAACCGGGTGCGTGCAGGATTGCAGCCCAAACATGTTGCCTGTACACCAATGAGTGCACATTCCCTCCACTGCTTCTAACAAACGCTTGCAGTCTTCGCACTTGCCGGATCCACTGAGCATGACGAACCGAGCAACCATGAAACTGAGGCTGAAAGTCACCAGTTCTACCAACCCGCACATGACACACCTGACCCTGACGTACCTGGGAGGTACGCACAGTGTGAGCACGACCAAACATCTGCTTGGAGACATGAAATGGCAGGGCATGGGAGGCATGGGTCTCAATGGTCTGCCAGAGATTGCGGTACCTAACATCAACTGCACTATGATCGGATAGCCAACAATCTGGAGGAACATCCCAATGCCTAGGCCAAGGAAATGGACCTGGAGTGCGCCAAACATCATTCTTGGAGGCCTCACCCAACCGATGAAAGCGACCCAAGAGCATGGCATGGTCTGGCCAAACATCATCGATCACATCAACTTGAATGAGCTGGTGTTGCAATTCAGGCGATATGTAGCAGAAATCCTTGCGCGTCCTTGCCTTACAAGTAGGCTGAGGAGGAACGCCCCAGCGCTCTGCTGCAATGTCTTGCAGGCCTTTAAAACCCAAACCCTCCAGAACCCCGAAGACCGGGAGTTCACCACTGGCCACATTCCAATCCCCCGCCACGAAACGAGGACCAGAAGACAAAAATCCAACTGAGTCAGTCACCGCTCTCAGGAGCGCTTCATTGTGCTGCAACCTGGATGGGTAGTAATGGCTGTCTGGTTCACCATAAACAACCCCACCGGTAAGCCAAACATTGTCGATCAAGGATGTAAAAACCATGGCCCTGGATGAATGTTGAATCTCCACCGGCCAAGACGTAGGCACATGACGAACAGGCACCTTGGAGAGGACCCCAACCCCTTTCCAGCTTCCTGCCCCTGTGGCTGACGGCATAACAGGATGACCACCCAAGAACGGACAGAAAGGCGAGCCCGCAAATCGCAGACCGGCATTGAAACCAGCAACATCCTTGGAACTCAGATGCGTTTCACTCACTGCCCACAAATCCCCATAGGCCAGGTGGGCAGCAACATAGGGCGCTTTGCACCGCAAACCAGATGGATTCATCACCCCTAACACAAAATTGGAACTGTCAGTAGCCGGAGCTGGATGAGAGGCCTCTCCAATCCGGCAAACATTGAAAAAGAGCAACAACACAACCAACCAGGACCTGGCACGGTGGCAGGCCCTGACGGGAAAGGCAGTTGACACACACCCCAAAAGCTGGAAAAGCAAGGGCATCAGAGCAGCAAGCGCCCACATGGCACAACAAGACCCCATCATCATCATACCATTGTGAGAGCTAGGCAGCTCATGCCCACCCCATCATTCACCGTCATCTCTCGGGCGCTTCTGCAACAACCCTCGTATGTGAGAAAGCTGGTTCTCAAACATAGCCTGGATGCTTTGGTTCTGCGTCTCTATTTGGCCGTGAAGTTGTTGAGACTGAGCTTGCATCTGGGCCTGGAGATTGGAAACCTGTTGAGACTGGTGATGGGTGAACTCTTGAAATTGCCCATCAATCTGAGTCTGTTTCTGCATCAACTGTTGTACCTGACCTTCAAGGGCACTGATGCGGTCGGGGACATCATCTTGCTCCATGGGGGTTCCTTGAGGAAGTTTGGACAAGACCGCAGCCTGAATCCGGGACTCCATTTGCTGCATGCTATCAGTTTGAGCAGGTGCAGCCGAAACAGGCATCGTGGATGGCTTGAACTTGGTCCAGGGATCTGCTTGAGTCCATGGATCTTCATCCTTGGCAACCGGACCTCCACACAGGACAAGTGTTGCAGGTGATGCTACTGGCAGCTTGACCTCGCTCTTCACTGAAAAGTCACCTGACTTATGGCGGGAAATCAGCACCTCCCCATAATTGGCGTGCAGGATCGCATTGGGCGGCTCCTCAATGGCTTGCACAATCCACATCGCACCACGACCTGGTTGAGGAGCCCCAGGTTGAAGAGGGCGGCAATTCCACCCCACATGCTTCATCACTTTGCAGATTGCTTGACGATCCAGGCCAAACGGAAACGGACCAGCGATATACTGCAACCGCTCCCCTTGCGGGAGGAACAACGTGTCTGGTCGAACAGCTTGATGAACTTCCTGGGCCTGGTCAGCAGGCACACGGAGTCCACGACGCTCACCGATCCGTGCCAGGCCCACAACCGCTGGATTGGTTTGCTTGAGATGGAGCAACTCACGCAAGGTCAACTTGGACGCCCAGATCACCATGAACTCATTCAACACTCGCTGTCCATCAGCAGAACGTGGTTCGACATAGGCACCGGCAGTACCGCTACGGCTGAGCACCCTTGTCAGGAGACAGTACGGGACCCTCATAGAGACACAAAACAAGTCAGCTTTGGCAAATTCACAAGGCTTCACCACATCGTTTCAGCTCAGGGAAGATCTGAACCAACTGCTTGACAGGCGCACGGGCAAAGGAATCCCAATCATCAACTTCATCCCGGAAAACATTGATCCGAAGCGAGCAGACATCCGGGGACTCAAGTGAGACAAGGTTAGACCCTGCAAACTTCTCAACACAGCCATTTCTAATCTGAACAAGGGATGCTTCTGCCAAAACTGGTTCATTGTCAACTGTACAACGGCAGGAAATGTGACCCTAAGTTGAGACAGCATGGATTGCAAGGGTTGATCAGCTCGATGAAAAACAACCAAGGCCAGAGGTTCCTGCGAAACAAGACGGCCTGCCTTGAGGTAGGGATCAGCTTCTTGTGCAGTCATCAGGACCACCCCACTACTGACGGGGCCAATTTGTTGCGCACACAACTGCGGAAGGACAGTAGGCCCAGACCGGAAAGTACCCTCCAACACACTGAGTTTGTGAGGGTCAACTTCAACAGGAGGGGGAACCCCTGGGACATTCCGCTCCTTAGTGGGTTTCTTACCAACAGGCTTGCCTTTGTTTCCAGCAACTGCAGCTTCCAATTCGGAGGGCAGGACCCACTTGAAACCAACATTGGTGGCTAATGCTTTCATCTGCCGCCATGGTTGCTTCTGCTGCATGGCTTGAATCAACTGTTCACTGCCAATTGCTTTGATAGCCTGAGAGGCTCTTTGCTCCGTCAGTGCACCAGGGACACCATGCAAACCCAACTCTTCTGCAATTGACTTAACAAGGGCACCTGTTCCACCATCACCCCAGACCAAAGGGCAAATGCACATCCGTCGCTCAAACATAGCTTGAACAAAAGAGGCACGCATGTTGGTAGCCATGAAGTCCAAAGTGCGAACAGAATCAGGCAATTCAGCATCAATCAAGATATGGGCCAAAAAGGCTAACGCATGAGCCCCGCAAAAGTTGTGGGAAGGAAGACCATGAGGTACCCGATGAATCACAACCTCCTCAAATCCCAAATGAAGACCCATCCAGCGAAGCTTGCCATCGAAAATGTCATAGTCCACTATGTCATCAAATGTATGAAACACCAGAACCATACCCGCAGGAACCGCCCACAGGGGAAGCCAATGGGACCCTTCAAGCACAACCGCCGCAATTTGATGGCCATGAGACTTGACCTGCTTTGCACTTTCGCACCATTTCTCAGTGAGAATATGCCCAACTGCATCCCAATTCAGGAAGTTAAGGCTCTCAAATGGCACCACAACTGGGCGGAATGTATCAGATCCTCCACTAACGCGAGGCACGTTTCTGGAGCAGAGTGGCAAGGTGGAATCGCACTTCATCATCACCCATGGAGCGCCCATGGACAGCAAATAAATCAATACGCTCATCTGTGGAAATACACTGATGTGCAAACGGTACACCGACATCAGTCTGTGACGCAACCTGTGTTGATTCAGCAACCGGAGGGACATTGGCTGGCACCGGATCCTCAGATGGCCATGAGCGTTCAGACGCTTCATCACTCTCCTGGCCAGATGCCCATAGCCAAGGTCGGCTCACAAATTCAGACTCATACAGTGCATCAGTGAACACCCTTCTGAACTCGGTGTGAAGAGCCCAGACAGCTGCATACTTGGTAACTTCAGTGGAAAGACCAAGCTGACTGACAACCGACAAAGTTGATGGCAACTGCTCCACAGGCGGAACGGCATCGAACGTCACGGTGGGCATGGTCAAAACGCAAGGATTGGAAGCCCAGAGCAAAGGCAAATTCAATCAAACAATTGATCCACTGAGCAGGAATCTCCGCCTGGTAGTCCCCAGTGACAATACGAACACGCGTACCGGCTGGGAAGAGGAGAAAAGGCACCCAATGTTCAATGACCTTGAGAGTCCCAACGAGAATAACCTGATCAGCACAGGCAGACCGAAAGAGACGAGCACACTCCGTTGCTGACATCGATCCCGGTAAAGTCCATGAGAGAGTGATCAAAGGATCAACAACCTGGACATGCCTGACAAGCTGATCATTGCTGACAACATTACATCGATCTGCAAGAGCCTGAAGATGGAATCTGATTTCATCATCTGCCCATATGCCATACTGGCTTGCAAGTAGGTTCCTTCGATCAGTCGATGCAAGCACTTGGCTACGAACTGCAGCGTATTGCTGTGATGTCATGAAGGTGGGACCTTTCAAAGCACCTAATCCATCAGATGGAACACACGCAAGTGCATCAACTACTTCTTGAGCAACCTGAGCCGAGTTTCCAGGAGAACCAACACCCCACGCAGGGCACACTGCTGCATCAGATGCACGAGAAAGGCTGCTAGCAGCAGCCCCTTGCAACCCCGACTCAGAAACCACATCCCCACCTTGTGGTGGACCATTACCCCAGAACCATGGGCGAGGTACTTCAGTAGAATTTCCAATATGTTGCATAAATCTGCGTCGCAAACAGTGATGTTCCTCCCATGCAGAGAAATTTGAGCACAACCGAGGAAACCCAGCAAGCTGAGCTCGGAGGAAATTGATGGCAACGGCACCACATGCTGATTTAATGGCAAAAGGTCGGACAACATGATCAAAGAAAGTTTCAGTAAACCCAAGGCCATGTGTCATGCGCATCAAACAGGCTGACAAGGTCACCGGAAGCTCTTGAGCAGCATCATAAGAGGCAATGCGCACTGTATTGCCCCAAGGTGTGATCAAGACCGGAATCCAATGTGCATCAACACAGAAAACCCCAATGGCTTGCAGCCCATCAGCCAAGATTTCCGGATGGGTGGCCGCCCACTCAGCACAGTCAAAGGCCTCAGGATCAAGCCATGCTGCAGAGACAACTGGATCAATTACAACGACCTGCTTCGGCAAGCATTCAACTCCACGTTGACATTCCTCAGCAAGAGCAATCATATGGAACCTCATTTCATCATCCGCAACGGCACCCAACTGATTTCGGAGAATTGCCAGCCTGTCCAGGGAGGGAAGAACCTGGTTACGGATGGACCACAACTTGGTTGGCGAATCAATGGTGGGTGGCTTGGTTTGAAGCATCTGGGCATTACTTAAGGCAATCAGGTCGGCAACATCCCATTCAATACGTGACCACAATTCACGACTGTAGGCCCCTACATCGTACAATCCACGAAGACGTGTCTGATGAGGGCCAGAAGACGGATTGAGAGCAAACAATGCAGTGACAGGCTCCTCACCAACATGAACAGCATGCTCAATATATCGAGGTAGCCGTTCAGGCTCAACGGGCATTATAGGGAGTGGCCCGGATTCCCTGGCTTGCAAGCTGTCTGCATCGGGAGCAGGCACAGCAGCAGGACAAGCAGACCCGGCAGATGGACCAGAGGATGGACGAAGACGCAATGGAGATCTTGACCTGCCATCAGCACGATTGCTACTCTGAGGACACCTGTGGTCAGGCACATTTTCACATTCACTATTGCTTTCATCACAACCACCAACAGACGGATCTGACTGGGGGGACACGACCGGGAAGACCTGATTGACCACAGGAGGAAAAGACCCATGAGTATCACTTGGCACATTTGGTTCCCCAGAGCTATCATCCGAGGCATCACCTGCACCCCAGATCCAGGGACGAATGACAAATTCAGACTTCTGAACAATATCAGTGAAGCGGACCCTAAGCATGTCATGAACGATCTGCACTTCCGAACTCACAGTCGGGAGCTGGACATCACTCAACGCCGATTGAAGGAAATGCACTGCCATCGCACCACATTTGTCTGAAACAGGAACCAACCTTTGCTGCCTTGACACAAGGACTGATTGAAATCCAAATCCACGAGCAATCTTTTCCAAAAGGGTATTCAGAGGGGAATGGTCATTGACTGGGGAATCCCATGTATACACCGTAGCATGAGCCTTACAAGGCACAATGTGAAACGGGACCCAATGTGTGTCAAATCTACACGCACCAATGATCTGAACACCATCTCGCATCACTTCAGGATGATCATTCGCCCACATTGCACAAGGAAAAGCACACTCCTCCAGCCAGGCAGTACATAGAAGTGGGTCAAGCACCATCACTGGAAACTGAAGGTTTGGCTTCGGAGCAGCAATCACACTCAAGTGGTATGCCATTTCATCATCAGACCAAACATTACCCTGTGCCTGCAGTAAAGCATATCGATCCGAAGAAGAGACGAACTGCTGTCCAAGAGCCTTGAACTTCTGAGCATCATCAATGCGAGGCACGGCAAGTCTCACAAACTGCTTGGCAGTCAATGGAAGAAGTGCATGAATTTGCCTTGTGCTAGAAGGATACTGCAGAGTGGCACCCCCAACTGGCGAGCATGCATCCACACCAACGTCAGGTTGCCAGCTCAAGGTGGGAGACACAACCGGCGGACCATCAAAGCCCCCATGTAAAACTGCATCACTGACAATTGCTTGGTGAGACTCAGGAACCGGAATCTGTCCAGAAAATTCTCGCATGGGAACATCGCTACAAGAGTCAGCAACCTGCTCAGGGACAGGACCCATTACATGCGAAGGCATACATGAATCATCCGCAGAAAAGGTTACACCCTCATCACTGGACGAAAAGAAGATCTGCACATTCTGGCCAGCTTGGATTGGCTGGGTCATCTGAACTTCGTTTCCAAACTGGTCACATACAGAGGCAACCCTCATGGTTCCCGTCAGCTTGGCGTGGGCACACAACAGATCTGCAACTTTGGAGCCTGACTGAAAGCGGAAACTGACACCACTGCCATGAGAGTCAATGAGAGACACTTCCGAAACTCCAACAGAGAAAGACGTATCACACTTGGGGTCACACACAGGAAAATCGAACCAAGGTGTATCATTCAAATCCACAGGTGGTGCACAATACTCTGCGGCTTGAGCTTTGCGAATCAAGTGATCCAACACTGCAGCAACTGAGAGATGAGACACTGGAGGATCATCAAGCCAATTCGGATGCACCACCTGCTCAAGTGACAGGCTGCGCACAGGGTACCAGAAGGCGACCATTTCGGCAAGAGAACGATCAGAGATCACCTGCTCAGTGCACGGCCACGCCATCTGACATTTCATCACAAGCCAAGACCTGAACGCAAGCAAGTGGGCCAAAGGGCTATACTCCGCCTTGTCTTTGCTCAAGTACTCAACCCTCTGCAAAACAATGCTGAAGACCCACGCAGCCTGAAGTGGGCTGGCAATCTGTCCAACTCCTGACAGAGTAAGGCGGACGTTGAGCCCAAAGTCAATAGTGCAATCCATGCCATTAAGTGCCAGAGCTTCAGACGGATGAACATGTCGAATCTTTTGACCAGACATTGCCTCAGAGGTACTAGAGACCAAAAGCCCAAACAATCCCTTGTCATGCAACCTCTGCGCAGAGAGACCGAAGTCACGACAGCCACAAGGGCAAGCCCTGAGTTGAGAGCCCCAAGCATGCAAAGCAGTTGGAGCAATTCCATCTGCAGTCATAAGATACCTGGGGTATGTTCCATCGTTGACCCCAAATGCCTGACATTCACGAGAGTCCAAGCTCAAAGCCAACTCATCTCTCGGATCCCATCGGCAGATGTAGGGGATAATGCATTGGATCTTGGGCAATCCATCAGCACGCAACCATTCTGTGAGGCCTAGCTTCCCTAAACAAGGGTCATACAACACCCACCATGTTCTGTGACGCCGAGAGGGCCAAATGGCAGATAGCTCGAGGTTGATGTTCTCCTTCACAAAGCCCGAAAGTTCTACAAACCTATCAAGGTGTTGAGAAACGAACGGATCACTGCATGCAGGCACAACGCATTCAAGCACTAAAACCCGGACACGCAGAAACAGTGCTGCTCGAAGGATTTTGGGGAGGGACAGAGCACGGGGGTCTGCCCCTCCTTTACGATCACCCAACTGGGAAAACGGCTGACATGAGAAGCCTGCACTCATCACCGCAGCATGATTGCACTTGGACCACACTTCAGCGATCACCTTTGGACACCCAACATCACCGGTCACATACTCACATCCACCATGAACCTTGTGCAAGTCCACCATACGAGCATTGGAGTCAACAGCAACCATAGTCTGCATACCGACGGCATAAGCACCATGAGTCATACCTCCTAACCCGCAGCAAGCATCAACCAGTTTGAAGAAGTCCTCCCATGTATGCTGTGAGTGATATAAGACCTTAGTCCCATCATCCACCTTCAGCTACGGAATTGAGAACTGCTGCACCAAGACAACATCCAACAGAGTGAGCACGTCGGAAGCTCCATCCAAGAGTCCCGCAAGAACCATCACTGTCTCTGTGTGGACAGAACGGACCAAGTGGCGCTCATGAGCAGGATCAAAGACCATCACCTTCACCACAACAGAGAAGCGACCACCAGCATCAACCTCGGCAAGGTCCATGATCAGGTCCATGGCAAGACACGGTGAACAGGACGCTCTACGATCAGCAGGGCACGGCCGCACCTGCTGGTAGGTGTAGAGCCCACGGCTGTTCCAAACCACCAACCAAATGAGTTGTACAATAACAACCAAGAAATGCAGGGTCTCAGGACCTGGCAGGGCGGCTGGTGCATCTTCAGCACCTGTTTTTCAGCGTTGGGATCATCACAAATTTAGTTTGAAAAATGAAATGTTGCATGTCTATGATTAAAAATGTTGAACATGAAACCTGAGAAGGGGGACGAAAGCCAGCCCCCTAGCCGGAATCTTTTTAAAGCACATTATCTATATATATATATATCTGTGTGTGTGTCTCTCTCTCTCTCTATGACACAACTTGCTTGCATGTTCCTTTTCTTCACACTTGTCCATGCTTTGCAACCCTTCGCCACTCCTTCCTCGGTATCACTCTTCATCCCCTTGCAAACTGTCCTGCTCCGAACCCCAACGGAGCTGCTCTCCGTTGAGCTTTGGATCCTGACTTTTTCCAATATGTTTGCCTCTATGTTCCTAGTTTTTTCAATGCTTAACCTGTCCTCGATTTCATACCTTTTTTTCAAACCTTTTCCTGCGTTTTCCGACGGTTTTTCCAGAGTTTCCTTCCTGCAATTTCCGCATTTTCCCAACGGTTTCCTCAATTTCCTTGGTTTTTCCAAGCTTGCCATGAATGGTTTTTTCAACATTCAACCCTTCGCCACTCCTTCCTCGGCAAACCGTCTTGCTCCGAACCCCAACGGACGCTGCTCTCCGTTGAGCTTCGGATCCTTAGTTTTTCAATATGCTTGCCTCTATGCTCCTAGTTGTTTAAAGGCTTTGCACTGCGCCTCCATTTCATACCTTTTTTTCAAACCTTTTCCTGCGTTCCTACGGTTTTTCCAGAGTTTCCTTCCTGCAATTTCCTCATTTTCCCAATGGTTTCCTCAATTTTCCTTGGTTTTACCAAGCTTGCCATTCATTTTTTGCTCCAGTTTTATGGTGTTTCACAATTTTCCTCCATTTTCCTCCATTTTCACCTTGTTTTTAACGATTTTCCTTCATTTTCCTTCGTTTTTTCCTACCTTTTTCCGCCTTCCGTTTTCAAGAGACCTAGGGAGAATCGAACCCCACCATCTAGTGGCACATGCCCCCCTAAAAAATTCCCATTGGCCACCCTAATCACCACCCAATATCGAGATTTTGGTCCACCTGCGCAACCTCCACCCCCCACACCCCCTATACTCACTTCGTTCGCGAAAACAACTTTCTAGCCTATCGGCTGGCTTGCGTAATATAGCCATAATATAGCTGAAAGCTTTTGAAACCACCAACCCGTCATGATTCATCGTGATTGATCATCATTGGTCAGCATTGATCATCATTGATCATGATGGCATGCTGCATGCTCATTCCCATTGGCAGGTCATTTTCCTGGGGCCAAAGTGGACGAAAGTGGGCTTTGTCAATGTGGGTGTCGCTAGCACCGCTCCTAACAACCCCAGCAGTCTAAAGCCACGCTGTACATCCAGGGCAAAGGCCCCGCTGAGTTCGAGAACAGCCAAGCAGTTCGTATCTGCTGCAACAAACCAGCTGCCTTTGTCATTCACTGTTTAGATTTCGTCATGTAAAATGGTTCTCGGCTCATGGACTTCAGAGTTTGTATCCAGGGCTTGAAGCAAATCTACAGCCGGCTCCAACTTGGCTGAGGATTTTCAAAACAAACCATGGATTACCACGTCTGTACCGTGAGTTTTACTGGCTTTGAAATTCGTTTGGATCCACAGCCACCTCTGCCGGGAATCAAGCCAAACCCTCTACAGCATGTTCACCTCAAAACGGATGACATTTTTAGGGCCGTCCAATTAAACTGGTGAGAAAAAAACATATCTCACGCGTGGTTCAAAATCCACAGCTGGTTGCACCTCCCTTCGTCATCATCGGGTTTCACTGGGTAAAGGATCACCTTGCTGCCAGCCTCCAAGCGACCTCCGCAAACATCCAGGCAAAGCTGGCGATTGTTGGCCAGCTTGATGCGCCCATCCTCGAACACGAAGGCCTGGTTGAGCCACCAGCGCCCTTTAAAAACAGAAAGTCGATTGGGATGATCATCCCAAAAAATGGTGTGAAGTTATAGAAGATCCAAGTTGAAATCATTTGTCCCATGTCGAAAATCAAAAGTGCTAAGAGCAACTGCCACCCAGAAGCTGCTTGGTGTTCGAGGTCTTCCAACTTGACCTCCTCCAACTCAGCAGCACCGCCAAGTCCCCAAGCATCATCTGCAGCCAGGCGAATGGAATCTCCATGCAGCTCCCAGCGTTGATTTTGGTTGCCATTCACTCCATCTTTGCGATAGATCTGGATACCGGTTCCTCTGTGGCATCTGCCGAAATCCAACTCAAGCACCAAATCTGGACGACAAGCCAAGCTGATGTTCACAGGACCCATTGGTCGCCCTTGATGCTGCAGCAGGACACGCAACGCACCTGCTGCCGGCGAATCAAATTTCTCCTCCTTCTCAAGGAAATCTCGCATCCTCTCCAGAAGCATGGCTGGTGCCGTCTCCACAGGGAAGGTGTCAAGACTCCTGTCCTCACTGGAGGCAGACTCGTCAGCTGAGAAAACACTTGACACCAGGGTAAAGTCATCGGTTGAGTCGGAAACACTGGCGACATCCTCTGCGTCGAGCTGCGCCATGTCAAACTCGTGGCTCAAATCGATGACTGGAACAGGATCCATTGGCTGTGGCTCTCCATTGGAAGGACGCAAATGGGAAAGATCGGTGTAACCTGACTCAGTCACCACGTCACATGGAAAAGCTGTGTGTGGAATCCACAGCAATGTCCCTGGGTCTCTCACTTCTCTGTAGGGCTGGGTATGATCGAACGGCCTCGTCACCAAAGATTCAAAGTCCGGATCCCGGGCATCTCGGGCATCTTGGGCATCTCGGGAATCTCGGGCAGAGGCATGTCGGCCCAAGGAATGTAGGCCAATCCCAATTAATGGGATAGACAGCAAAGGCAGGTCAACGAGCACAGAGGCTGTTGTGAGGTTGGCAAGTATCAGAGGATTCAGACCCATTTCAAGCAAATTGATTCCGACAGGCCCGACAGGTGCCATCTTCCTAGTCGCATCTTCAGAAAAGTCCTTCACCTCTTTGCTAATTTTCTTCGCGCCTTCCAAAGTCTGTTCCCAAGCATTCTCAGAAAAACCTTTTGCATCTTTGGCAACTTTCTGGGCACCTTCCAATGCTTTCTTGCCAGTGCCCTCTGTCAACTCTTTCACCTCCTTGCCAATTTTCTTGGCGCCCTCCAAAGTCTTTTCCCAAGCTTGCTGCAAAGCTTGCTTGCTCGCATCCTCAGACAAGTCCTTCGCATCTTTGGCAACTTTCTGCACACCGTCCAAGGCTTTCTTCCCAGTGTCTTCGGTGAAGTCTTTCAACTGGTGGGCAACCTTCTGCACAACCTTCAAAGCCCCCAAAAATGCCATGCGGACGGACAGGTCCCGATGCTGACAAGGAAATTGGCAGGGAAGATCCTTGAGCTTTACGACTGAACGATGGTATGGAGCATGCTCACTCTCTTTGTGTTCTTCACTTTTGCCAGTAGATGATCTTAAATGCATGAGGCTTAAATATGAACTGCAACTCATACATTCTAAGACTTGAAGGCTGAGGTTTCGAAAAACACTAGTGTCTACCTTGATTCTCACTTTGCGGAAAACATCACTCGGTTCGACTCAAAACTGAACAAGCTTCGAAATCAAACTGGCTGCTTTCTGGCTTTCACTATCGCAACTGGAAAGACATCGTAGGAAGGACAAGTATGGATAAATCAAAACTGACGTTCCAAACAAAATGTCCAATAGCGCATGGCAACACTAAAAATATGAAATACCTAGAGTCTCAAGTTTTCACCCATGCCCAGTAAATTTGCGATGTTCCTCCACTCTTTGTCCATCGTCCCCCGAACCTTGTGCTGCCCTTGGTCTGGGCGCATGCCACTGGACGCCTCAGTATATTCGGCTAGAGCTGGGCCACTTGGGACAATGGCAATGGCAGCAGGTCATGTCCGGCGCTTGTTTTCAGCAGGCGATGGCAGTAAAGGTGCGCAGTTTGTGCGGGTCAGTGCTCACGAACAAGTGGGCGTCAAGCACCACTGTGCCAACCCCAATGTCACCTTGAACATTGGCCCTGACACAATCTGCTGAACAGAGAGCTGCGCTGCGAACCAAAGCATTGTCTCAAACCATCTTTTGAACTGTTTACAGTAATGCTTGGAGGGTTGATGTTGGATTGAAAAGTAAATTTCATCATGCAGTCTTATCCATGCTCCTGGAGCACCAGAGAGTTAAGACAGAAGTACATCGTAGTCTTTGTCTTCGTGTATTTCATAGTTTTGCAGCATGTCTTCTTAGTACCCTGTGCTTCCTTCTGGGTCGTTTCTCTGGTAGTTGTCTATTGTTGGCCAGCGGCTTTGACTCACCAAAAAGGATGGCCCAAGCTGCACTGATATTCTGTTGAGCCTCTGCTTTCTGACTGGAGTCTGTTCATGGGGATTCTATCTAAAAGGAGCCAATCAACATCTTCCCAAACTATCTGATGCCAGTTGATTGTGGTTAATTACAATGAAATTAGATTTACATATAGTCATATAGTATTTCAGGAAAAACATGTAATGTGGTAAACCGGCAAACCCAATGATAAGCCTCCAGCTTTGCATGGTTCTGTTGAAAGTCGGGATGCTTTATTCTTAGGTTTACCACATTAGTAGAGTTGAAATCATGTGTTACTTCGAACTTCAAGTCCAGCTCTTTCTACTGAACGAATCTGAACGATATGTTTGCTTGAGCCATGAGCCACCTTGTTGTTCCCAAGGACAGTACGTCTACGCTCCTACATCTTTTGCAGATATTTGCAGAAGGCCATATTGTTAAAACATCTTAAAACAACATGGTATTCTGTCTTGATCAAGACCACCCTTTGGAAAGAAAACGAATCAGTGCTGTCATACAATCCCTGACGCGGAATGTAATGGAGATGAACCAGGCACACAGTTTCCAATTTTGCATAAACAACTTACGCTTTCCAGGAACCTGGTCCTAAAACGTTCAGGGCGGTGCCCACCTTAGCGTCAAAGCGCGCGACCATAGGTGAAGTGGGAAAAATGTCGAGAATCCAACTGGCTCTTCAGCGCTACCCTCTAGATGCTGCGAACTGCTAGAACTGCTTAGGTTGGAGCCTGCCTTTCTTGTGATGTTTTCAAGTTTTGAGGATAGCACAAGACTTTAAAAACAAGATGAAACAAGGAATCACAGGGTGTCCGGCCTCTCTTTTGTATTCTTTCATCACAATGACATCTCAGAGAATGTCAAGCAGGAAGTTCCAAGCTAAGCTTAATCATGTTTGGATGCGCATCTTTGTGCGACACTGCTATACAAATGGCCACGAAGGGGCGGGACGCGGTGGGACGTGGCGGGACGGTCATCTGCACAAGACCTTGCAAAGTCCCAGGTGCGCTTCCAAAGCCCCATTCCTCCCTTTGAATGCCCATCATGAAGTGGGCAGGAAAGTTGTTTGTTGCACAAGTGTTGGGAGGAACGTGGCCCACTTGGCACAAAAATGTTGCTCAAGCCTCAAGTCAGGACATATCCGTCTGGAAAAAGGTTGCCTCCTTTACTTTGCTCCTCCAAATTCAACTGAATAGGAACAACATGAAACAGCTGTCCCTTGTGATCAGCGTGCCAGGCACACCGGTCCTCCTGTTCGTTGTCCTGCCCGAGAGTTGATCGTCAGCACGGAGACAGCCGAGGCTTGCTCTAAATACTTCGGTAAAATCTTTGACCTGAGATGCACTGAAATGCACCTGGCTTCAGAAAAAAGCACGGCTTGCTGCAGCAAAACTTTTGCAAAAACTTCTCCAGCCAAGGGACTTCCAATGGGTCTCCAGCCACTGTGGGATGTACCACTCATCTCTCCAGGTTGGCTGCTGATTGGCTGCCTTTGTTGCAAGTCGTCTCCGCGTAGCTGCCCTTTCGGCCACATCTGTGATGTTCTTCAAGGTTGCTTCGCGAAGCTGCCAGCGACCAACCACAAAGACCCTCTTCACGCTCCGACTGGCCGGGGCCTCCGGGGCCCCTGGGGCCTCCGGGGCCTCCGGGGCCTCTGGATCGTGAGGAAATGGCATCACGCAAAGCGCTTCGCCTTGTCCTTTTCGGCGCAAATCCACGACCTGGATGCCATGGCTGCCATGGTTTCGCTTGAGCAAGGCATCAACTCTACGGCCATCAGGCAGCTGGTACAGAATGAGGAGTCTGTCGAGGAGTTCCTCAGCACCCGGTTGAAAGATCTTGTCAAAGTCATCGAAAATCCAATACTTCGGCACTTCATCCTTAGCAGCCTTGGCCGAAAGATTCTTCAGGAAGTCAACTTGAACTTGGTACGGAGTTCCTGTGTGGGGGCCTTTGCCAATTGCATATGTTGCTGAGATGCCCTTCAGACCAACAATCAGCATTGTTGAATTGTGACGACCAGCACCGCAGATGGCAAAGACCTGGTAAACCTGACGGGCGCTGCATTTCTCACGCTACTAGCTGAGCGCACCTGGTGAACAATATCAAGTCGCAAGGAATGCTTTAGGGCGGGTGCGGTCAAAGGATAAAACCCAACAGCCTCTTCAAACACCATGTTATGCTTCTATAGTAACTAGTGGTCATTGACAAGCAAGCATCTGACAAGATGGAACACAACGTTTATTGCAATGGTGGCAAGAAACATGGGACACAATGATTGCAGGAAAGTCTCGTCCTACAAATGGTCAAACTGCAAACGCATACTTCCAACCTTTCGGAATTGAGCACTGCTACGGGCAAAGAAGTAAAATCCCTTCTGTTACACTCAATGGGCTGTCCTTCTTCTCTTTGGTCTCTTTCGTCTCTCTGCTCTCGCTCCCGTTGGTCTCTTTGCTCTCGTTGGTCTCCTCGGTCTCCTTGGTCTCCTCAACATTCGTGAAGAAATCGCAGGCGAGATGCATCATTTTGTTCATCAACTGGTTCTTGACATCTATGCACTCCGACCGGCTCAGCAATATGGACACCATCTTGCCTGAGACAAGCATATGACAAGCGTGAAGACCATCCAATTTGAAACCAGTACTGCGTTTGTCTGGAAGTTTTGCTGAGAAGGGCACTGCTTCGTTCCATCAGCCCCTTCTGCTTAAAGATCTCCCTGAAATCAGGAGCATGTTCTGGTTCGGAAATGATCCGAAGCTTCTCAGTTCCTTTCAGGTTGTAGCCAATGTAGTAGAGGCAAAAATAGAGACCTTCCTTTTTGGCATCTCTTCCGTAGGCACAATGAGACTGGGGTGGACCGACCTTCAGATCAAACCACACATTCTTTACCGTTACCGTCTTGCCATCTTGCATCCTTGGATGATGATGGCTCCCAAAAAAAAAATAAGAAGCTAAAAAAAATCCCAGTCGCTTCCACATTGGTGGATGAACCAATTCGAAGATACCAAGAAATCACCGTCTCAGCAAATCTAAGCATCTGCCTCGACTCCCACTTCAAGAAAATTGCTTTTCCAATGTCTTCCTCTTTGCATTCGATTTTGGCTTTGGACGCGAGGCGTATGGCGCAGCTTGCACAGCTAAAGTTACGCTCTAAGGCTTTGGAATTCACAAGCTCCAGAGCTCCTTGCCTTCCCCAAGTGTTGCGACTCTGCGCAAACGAGGTCAAAATATCCTTGGATTGGTGGCTCAGGCGTCCCTAAGAAAAAAACATCTTCCCAGGCATATAGATTCCCCAAGGAGGAATTAATGTTTTTAAATGTTCTTGATGGGGAAAGAAGAAATCACACACCTTACCAACTCAACTTAAGTCATCTTAAGTCCAGGTATCTGCGCAGCGAGCTTCTTCGTTTGGTCTGAATCCCCGCAGAACTGCTGTTCCACCTTTTCCATCAGAGCTTGAGCTGCACTTGACTTTTGGCCACGGAGCCACAGCCACGGACTGCGGTGGAAAGCATTGAAGGAGAGTCCTCAGGGTGCAAAAAATATCAAAAAATCGCGGTGGATCCAACATCCAACACACAAAAATCATGAAAATTCTATTGTTTTCTTTGAAACCATTGAATTGTTGCACTAAAAAATCTTGAGCCATCCCAGTGTTCTCCAAGCCCCTGCGCCTCTCATCAGCCCCATCAGCAACGTTCAAGCGCGCCCGCTCCATCGCTGGAGGAGCGCTTGGGTTTCTTCTTTCCTTTTGGCAAAAGACGACACAAAGTGCCAGCATACAGCATCAGTATGGAAAAATATGGAAAAGCAACCCACACTGGAAACTCACTTTGTGTATTCAAACTCACTTTGCAGGCCTCAAAATGGAAATCCCAGTCTTCAATTGGGATGTGGATGAACGTATTCTTCGTCTCGTGGGCTAAGCTGGTGTCCTGAAACCGGAACGGAACTGCATTGCTCGAACTCTGGAACCTTGGTACCTGTTGTTGAGTTGCAAAGTTGGATTATATAAAGTTATATCATGACGGTTTATGCTTAATGATGGTAGTTAATGATGACAATGGAATTAATTAGTAGTAAACCACTGTACGAGGCTAGTATTATTTTTACAAACACTAGGGCCCAACTTTGGACATGCCCGAGACCGAGTAATCAATGTCCTTGCCCAGTCGCACAGTCAACTGCTTGCCGCTCATGCTGTGCTCATCTCCTGAATGCTTTGCAATGACTGCAATGACATACATGAGCTATGTCGTAAATTAAATTGTTGTTATTATCGAAGGAAGTTTAGAAGTGAAACTTCCGACAATATGGACAGTTGAAAAGCAGAGGTGAAAAGAGTCAGAAGAGAAAAGATCAGAAGAAAGAAGATGCAGATGCGCGAAAAGGTAGGAAAGTCGCGATTCACTGTGTTTTTTCAATGATTTGTGGCTCCGGAGGGTCGAAAAGTAGGCTCGCTAAAGCGGCGGGTGCGGAGCCAGCTGGCCAGATGAGAGATGAAAAAGTGCACGCCGTTGTGGCGCGAAGCACATTTGCAAGTCAAAATGTACAAGACACACCATGATCGGACCACTTTGGAAGTTGACATGTGGAAAAAAATGCATGCCGTCGTGGCGCGAAGCACATTTCGATGTCAAAATGT